AGGCTCAGGCTGGGGGAAGGGTTGGGGGTTTCAGTTTCCAAAGGTCATGTCCCTTCCACAGTGTTGAGCTGGCTGGGTGGTGCAGGGGTATTGCACCGCCAGGTACTGGACCTCCGGGCCAGGAGTGTGCAGCCACCAGTGACCTGAGACAGGCAAAGAAGGCTGGGGGATGCGAGGTGGGACCCTGACGGGGAACTCGCCTTTCTCTCCAGCTCTCATGAAAGGAATAAACTTCAGTGGGAAATAAAAGCAGGTAAGAAACAGTTATTTACATGTTTTTTTTTGGAGAGATTTTTGCTATAGGGCACGTGTGCTCACCAGGCAGACAGACAGAGACAGAGAGACAGAAAGCGAGAAATCACCCCCCAGGGGGGATGGCCACGCTGCAATCCCTTCTCCTCCATTCTCCTCTCGGGATCTGGGGCACACACGCACACGTGCCCGGCGTGAGTTCAAGCGGCAGGGCCCGAGACGTGAACCGCAGTCGACTACGTGGGAGTCCAGCGACATAGCCATTACGCTAACTGCTGGCCCCAAGAAACAGTTATTTACATTTAAAACGAGCAGAATTGGGAGGTGTTAGTCCCAAGGTGCACCCTGCAGACAGCAGAGGTGGTCTGGTAACCGCTGCCTACCTGAGGGCTGGGGTGGCACCATGCCCCATCCACTCTGAGCCGTGTCACTGGTGGGGAGGCCGAGGTCCAAGTGGGGCCCGCTGACCCTCAGTCAGGCCATGACAATGGACCCCGACGTCCACCACAGACAAGGAGGTCAGCAAGCGTGGACTCAGGCTGTGACGAGGATAGCTACACCCCTGTCCAGTGCTGGGCGTCCTGACCCAAGCCCTGCAAAGAATGTCTGTGGACGCCGTGGGCTGGGGTGACAGTGGTCTCTCACTTGCCACCGCCCGGTGCTCGCCACTACCCACGCAGTAACAGACACACAGCGAGTGCTCTGGTGAAGGCTGGCCTCACCCTGGCCCTGGCCCCGCCCTGGCCCTCGCCCAGGGGTGGCCGCCCAGAACACAAAGGTTCTGTCCAGTGGGGCAGGAGCATGGCCAGGGAGGTCGGAGGGGAGAGGCCTGAACCACAGCCCCGGGCTTCACGTCTGGGTGCCCTGTGGGGCCGTCCTCCAGGCATCAGCTCCCGCGAGCACACTCACCCTCCCCAGCCCCGCCTCCTTTCTGTCCCCTCCTTGTCATTCCAGGAACACTGCTGAGACCTGTGGGAGGACTCACGGACTTCTTAGACATCAAATCAAACAACACAAGATTGATGAAGAGCTGTGACCGGGTTACCGCCCCTCACACGCTGCACTTCCGAACCAGGAAAGAACAGCCGGCCACGAGGAAAATCAGAAAGCAGGCCTCAGCCACGGCCAATAATCAAGTGATAGGGTTTGCTCCCTCTCAGTAATAACCAAAGATATGCACCTTATGGGACCAGCAGTTAGTGTAATGGCTATGTCGCTGGACTCCCACATAGTCGGCCGCGGTTCAAGTCCCGGACCCGGCGGCTTAAAACTCACCCGGGCGCGTGTGCGTGCGTGCCCAAGATCCCGAGAGGAGAATGGAGGAGAAGGGATTGTGGCATGACCATCCCCCCTGGGGGGTGATTTCTCGCTTTCTGTCTCTGTCTCTGTCTGTCTGCCTGGCGAGCGCACGCGCCCTATAGCAAAAAAAAAAAAAAAAAAAAAACCCCTTCCAAAAAAAAAACAGAAAAA